CACCACCACAGCAAGGCACACAATGGACAAATTTTTTTTTTCCAAAATGGAAAAAAACATTCACCAAACAACAAACCATAATTTAATAATGTATGAATGAAAACCACACACACACACATAGACACATGGATGAATTTGATATTATTCGAATGTTGAATGATGATTTGGATGTGGTGGATGATGTGAATGACAACAAAAAAGGAATCATGAATTTTAACACAACCAAAAAAATTGGAAAGAATAACAAAAAAAAAAAATGTGTGAAAGTTGTTTCACACACGCCGAAACCGATCGACAATGATCGACCGATTTTTGAATATTACCGAAAAAAAACGATATTTATGAAAGGGTTTTCGAAAAACAAAATTGAATTTTCCGAAAAATTTGATTTTGAATTTTTTTTTTTTGTTTCCAGTTTTGGTTATTTCGGAAAAAATAAAGATTTTTTTTCGATATTAAAAAAACCACCAAGGAGGTAAAAAAAAGGTTTAGAAAATGATTGAATTTTGCAAAAAAAAAAAATTCATTTTTTCGTTTTGAAAAAATCAATTTTCAAGCAAAAAAAAATTGAAAAAACAAAACAAAACACAGAATTTCATATACAGAGATCAAAATTGAATTTTCAAAAAAAAATGAAAAAGAAAATTTGAATTTTGTCCAATAAAGTTGATGAATGATAAATATTCAGGTAAAATTTTACATTTAGTAGGATGTTTTTGGCAAAAAAAAAAAGTTCATACGATGTTAATAACCATGAAAATTGATGATTCGTTTAATCGATTTTTGGCGATTAGTTTGGTTGGTTGATTGAATTGCGAGAAAAAAAATGATTAATTAAAATTACGGAAAAATGAAATTAATCATTGTCGAAACATTTGATGATGATAAAATGTTGATGATGGTGATGATTATGATTCAACGTTTTTTCATTTGTTTGTTTGTTTGCGAAAAAGATGTGCATAAATATTTATTATCCGTTGCGAAGTTTGGCAAATTGGATTCAATGGACCCAAAAACAAAAAAATTATTATTCATTTTGTTGTTGTTGTTTGATAATGATAGATTAGTTGTTGTTGTTGTTGTTTTAACGATAATAATAACAACAACAAAAATAACAATTGGTTGGTTAGTTGATAGTGCAAAGTTTTTGTTGTTGTTGTTGTCCAAACGATGTTAATGGTAGGTGGGAGGCGGATGATGATGGGGTTATTTCCACACAAAAA